TTTTAGTTTACATTACTTTCCCATGGGATTTTTTCAGTCATTTATAGTTCATTACTTCATATGGCTATAGAATCCCTGCTGTGTTAAAAAATGCCAAATAAAATTATATCTCATTCACTGCTTTATGCTATACCTTCTTTTGTTCAGATCCAATTAGTGAAAGCCTGTTCTTCATTTATCATACTTTTAGCTGATTACATTAGGCATTACAATAGTTCTCTAGCTTTCCTCGACAATGTTTGCACCAACAGTGTTATACTTATGGTTGAGGAGGCTCTTTCATCTTAACCCTCTGTTCCAATCAGCTCAGGGGGAAAAAAGTACATATGATTACTATTTCAGCCGAAACTTCTTTGCTTGTTTTCTCACCCCAAAATAATTCCACCAGATGTTTTAATTAAAACAAAATTTCCAAATTCTCTCCATCCTTTCCCACTTCACCTTTCCAAATGTGATGAATTACTCTCTTGCAATTTGAGCTCTAAATCAAAAACAGTAATTTGATGAATTTACAACAATTCTTTCCTGGACTTCTCTGAAATAACTGATTTAATAAGAGATTTTAGTCAGAGGTTTCAAGACCCTAAGAAGCATCTATTATGACCTACTTTTCTGAACACATTCAGTACCTCATGAGCAACTTCAATTACCATGGGTTTCACAGTAGCCATTTTGTCAAACTGTTTCCCCCACCACACTGATTCTATTTCAGGACATTTGTTAAAGCAAGAACTTATCTCCCACAGCATAATTTTCCAGCTACTCATAGCTTAGCATTACAACACAAACACCCACAAATCCCTTAAGTCACCTACCTTCTTTTTAACTGTGTTAATGTTGCCTTCCTACTCTCTTAACAATTCTTAGTTTTAAAACTCACAGAAATGCTTCAGATCTTTGGTCTTTTTTAAGATTAAGTGCACCGAGCAGTACTTTGTTCTTTGTATTTCCTCAGGTTAGCTTTATTTAGCTCTCATAACATTCACAACTTTTTCCACACTCCCAATATTTAATAGTTCCTTCTGCTGCTTCCAGTTCACGATGGTTACCAAAATTTTAATTTCTTGAAATCAAAATTGTTTTGTACTGTTATATTCTAGTTACCTTTCATTAATATAGAACAATATTCATTTTGCTGTATTAACAGCAGCATACTCAAAACATCTGTCATTGCATTCCAGAGAAGGAGAAAGAATAAGAAAAGTTAAGTAGTTTCACTGAAGGTCTGTATGTACTTTAGCTATTCCAAACCCCTCCATTCAACACTGAACTCCACAAGGGATTTCAGCAAGTTTTAACATCGCAAAAAAGAAAAAGTTAACATTCAACAAATAGGATTTCAAAAAGGAGTTTTTCCCAAAAACCTCTAGGATAAGATTATTCACTACATATTTATTCAAACTTGCTAGAGCATAGACTTTCCATCTTCCCTAACTGCATGCAAACTGGCGTACCAAAAACATAACATAACTACTACAATGATCTATTTCCACATTAGACTTGTGAGACCGGGACTTTAAATTTAACAGGTCATGGCCCTACTTAGAGATCTTACACCCAGTACAACTCAGCACTTATTTCTAACTCTGGAAGAATCCAAATTATAAGCTTACACATACACCAAAACCCATGTGTTTTAAGCTATTATCTGTACAGACTTCTGGGGGAAAAAGTAGAAGTATATTCAAGATTCAAAGAGCACAGTTTAAGACACTGTACACCACCCACCATGCAAAAAATACCAGCAGACATCCCTGCTCAGGTCATGCAGACATACGACAACAGATGGAAAGATATTAGAAGCTATTATTGCTCACTGCAAAAGAAGATGTTACCAATAGACCTCTGACCTATTCAGATAATTCATACTTTTTTGCTAGCTTTGATAAAAACAGTGCAGTTAAGAGTTCCAACTTCTACCTGCAGCCTCTTTTATATCTTACTGTTAAGACCCAAGTAGAGACAGAAGTTATTTGGTACAACATATTCCTTAGCTACGCTCAGTAACAAATCCATTATTTAAACAAATTTATCCTCATGCCAAAGGAAGAGTCTGAATTGCTAGATACTTGGTGTTTTTTTCTCTCTGCTGGGCACACTAAAGGAACCTGCTTCAATTCCATTTCTATTTTCAACCACTATGACAAAAAGGAAAGTCTTCTGACTTGTAGATGTATCTTTTAAAGTTATTTGTAAAACTGAGTTAGTATCAACAGGATTAGACTATCCGTTTTTAGCAAGTAGCTACACAGGTAATATAATAAGGGGCTATTATACCTCTAAGTATACTCTAGGTTCTAAATAGAGAATTTACCTACTCCAGTTCATCCTGTTTGTAAACATTTTAATTTAAAATTTTTTTGTAAACTATCCCTACTCTTCTAATCACTTAAACCCAGGTCCCATTATTTCTAGTAAAGATTCAAACAGTTTTGGGATGGCCAGCCATTCAAACACCATACCTTTACATTTATTCCTGCCTTTGGTCCAACGACTATCACCCAACTAGCTTCCTATGACATTTATTGCCTTAACAATACAAGAAGGCTTGAAGGAGGGAAATCCAGCTTAGCCCTGTCAAGTTTGAAATTAAAAGAAGTTCACAACTTTTTACAGCATGTTAGCACTAAGCGAACAGCTTTCTCCTAACTACGTTTCTCCTAGGCGGAGACAGAGGCTTATCTGGCAAGCTGCATCAGCTCTCAAGTTGGATTTCAAAAGGTTTTGAGATCTTGCTACAACTGGTATAACCAAAAAAGTAGCTGTTTATGGAGCCTGAACAGAAAAGAATAACATGCAGCAGAGGCATTTTTGTCACTATAAGTGACACCCTCAAACAGCAAGGAATTTGGCCTCTGGACCCATCTATCCAGATCATACGAACTGGCAGTTACAAGCATCACTAATTGCCAAGTAGATTATCTCCAGTTGTTTGTGAATTAAGTCATTCACAGACAACAGTCAAACTACTTCCCAATTCAAGCACCCAAGGAAGCAAGGATGTGGTGGATATAAGTTAGTTTTTTGGTCTAATTATACAGATGCTGCTCAGACTTGCTATAGTACAACCACCATATTTTAAGCACAAAGAACAATTTCACATAACCTTTTTTCATTTTCCTTTTAAATACTTCAAGTTTCTTCATGCACACAGCTAACTAGGTTGTGCAGCTAGATTTGCTACTTGTCTTTAAGAAAGGGTCCAAAGGGCTAAGCAGACACCCCCTGTAGCATCTGTTAAAGCCTCATTTCTAGTCAATAAACCCAAATATCAGCGTTTCATTTAACACACCTGTTACCGTTATGAACTGTTCTGAATACATTAATGCATTTCTGAGATTACCAGCTTGAATTTCTTTTCTCTTATGAACTATTACATATTAAAGTCCTTACATGGATGAGAAAGCTAAGACACCACAGATGGAAGCAGAGTAGCTATTATATTTTCATTTTTTTGTCATGCAGTATTTGAATTCCTTTCCCTAAGGTTAGGAGTGGTATTTCTTCATCATTCTTTTTTGTGTTCTCTGATCTCATTTTTCACTTTATACTTTCATAGTTTCCATATTCTCCAGTTCATAGGAGCATCCTTACAATAAATATAAAGCCATCTAGACCCACAAGAGGGAAGTACAGCAACTCATTTTTTTTAAGTCCTTCACAGACCTGCGAAAGAACATGTTTTTGGTTTTTTTTAAATAGCATTTTGGTTGATTTTCAGAATGAATTCATGCTAGGGAACAGAGCTACACAGCACTGCTAAACAGCAAACCCATTTATCCTAACAGATACCATATACATAAGGAGGAATACAAGTACCCATTAACATGTTTCAGAGTTTTACTAGAAGGGACTGCACATCACAGAGTAGTTTGTGTTCATATCCACTTACCCCTTGGCTTCCAAGAGAATTTAAATTTATGATGTCTGACGTCCATCTATTAGGGGCTCGTTTCACAGTCCATTCAGCATCCACAAGCTACTAGTCTCTCCCACTTATGGCTACCGGTTGAAATGCAGACCAAGCATACTCTTCATTCACCTCCAGAAGAATTACTTGGCACAGAAATTCAGCAGTAGGACATTTGTCCCCTTTGTCTCAGAAAATCCAGTTTGCTCTACCTACCCAATTCATATGACCTGAGTAGGTCATGTGGGAATAGAATCATGAAACACCACAGATAAAAGTACTGCCAAAGTCCAAAACTCCAGTTCTGAAGTTCTCAGCTATCACTTAACTCTGAAAATACCTAAGTTCTCATAGTTCAGCTTCCACAGACTCCACGAATCAGGCTTTGCACGTACCTCTCACATACTCACAAGTTCTATCACACATAAAACACACATTTTTTTTTCCCCCTCTCAGAGCTTGCCTGATGGACCTCTTTCAGTAAACCATAACATAGGGTTGCAGCTCTCTTCTAGATTTAGACAAGCTCTCCCAGGCTGCAGGGGCACCCTGAATCCTTTCTCCTGTAGCAATTGCTGAAAGCAAGGAATAAGATGTTCTCTCTAGTCAATGAGCGTATGCAAGTATAACTATACTTCCTTTTATATCATTCAGAAAAAGCACAGAGGAAATTGTCTTCCTATTCTTGTGTAGGACGCTTTTTAATTGGCTTTTCTTGTGCCTATTAGCAAAACAAATTTCAGGTTTCACTGTCGCTTTTACTGAGTGCACAGAGCAACATATTCATCAACTACTCTATCTCTGCTGTCTGGTTTAATCCAGGCAACGAAGGAAAGAACAAGGTAACATGTTTCTAAGGGCAAAATACAAAAGAGTTCACACAAGAAAACACTATATATTTGACTAATCCTCCTCTCTTGGCATCTCCCCTCATTCACAGAAGGAAAGGACATACAAAGAGGCTTCAAAATTACCAACACATCTATTACGGTAAATAAGCCTGCATAATAGTTGAAAAGTGTTGTTGAATTACCAAGTCCCATCTACCATTTGCATTCAAATAAGCTAGCAATAAACCAGCAGTACTTACAGCATTGGAATCAACATCACTGTGTATAGCAACTGTTTTAATCCCCATCTTCTTACATGTTTTGATGACCTGCCATATGAAAAGCGACAATCATCAATATTTAAATTATCAACAAGTTAAGAACAAACAAAAAATCTCAGAAGATTAAATACTTACTCGGCATGCAATCTCCCCTCTGTTGGCAATAAGGAGCTTTTCAAAAGTCTGAAGGGAAAAGAACAATAAGAACCCTAAGATGAACAAATCATAAGTTTTTTCCCCCCTTTAGAAATGGGCATTCTTTTCTCCTCCATTTCCACTAAAACATTGGCTGACTGAGATCACCTGCTAAAGAGTTATGCTGATTTAACAATGACACAGCATAAGCAGTATGCTATACCAAATCTACCTAGCACGTACATAGGTTCAGAAAAAACAAAAAGGTGTTGAACTATCAACACCTGCATTCCCTGGATCTCCTTACCATGCACAGATATGGAAACTAGAACTCTGCAGAGGTGCTGGGAAAGAGTTTTTTTTCATTCACAAGCACTGCCAAATACATAGCAACACCCTCAACACCCAGAAGTCCCTGAACTCTGATTTGGACACAGAAGATATTCAAAGGTGGCATACTTTCCCTGCTCTACAGGTCTTTGCTCTTTTCTACCACACAAAGAAGGACCCCCAAAAATTTCTTACAAAGTTAAGGCAGTACTCTGAAAAGCATGTTTAAAATAAATTACACTTACACTGTGGATTAGACACAGTAAACATCCATGCTGATGTTCATCACAGAATGGTTGAGGTTGGAAGGAACCTCTGGAGATCATCTAATTCAGTCCCCCTGCTCAAGTAGGGTCCTCTAGAGCATATTGCCCAGGACCCTGTCCAGGCAGATTTGAATCTCTCCAAGGATGGAGACTCTGCAACCTCCCTGGGCAACCTGTTCCAGTACCCAGTCACCCAGAAGCCTTTCCTTACCTTCAGACACTGTTTCAAGTCCTCCTGTGTTTCAGTTTGCACCCACTGCCTCTCATCCCATCACTGAGCACCAAATGTTGACACAATGTTAACATCCCTCTGCTAGAAACTGCCATGACTGTTCTTTTCCTACTCCAGACTCCCTGTGACAGCCCTCACATCTGCTTTGGGAAAAATGCCTGTATAAAAACTAAAACTAGATTATTTTACCTCTAGGTGGAAAATGGCAACAAATATCTGGGGGTCAAGTGCCTCCAGCCAGCACAGATCCAGAATAAAATCTCCCAGGCAGGCAAGTATTGTGAAGTGACACCCAAATCACAGGGAGGAGAGGTTCTCCTCTGCCTAGGGCATGGAGGGGAAAGATCAAAACTCCCACTCTGTAGAAACAAGCTTGCTGAGTAGTACTAGCCTTTTCCCCTCTTCATAGCTAAGCTTCACATGAGGAACTAGGTAAACCCCCACATTGCCACCATGAAGCTGTTACCCTCAGTATTGAGTAGCAGCCACAGTGCAAGAAGATAGCAAATCAAATCTAGCACGCTTGTGAAATCCACTGTCACCTTTCATATTGAAGTGCACTTAACACTGCAAATAGGCCTTCAATGCTATCATGACTGAAAAGGGGATAACAGGCTGTCCAACACCAGCCTTACACCCTAGACAAAAACTTGCCATTAAGAAAGGGGATGGAGGAGGAACAAAGTTGCATAGAAATCTCATTGTGGGGGTGGGGTGGAATAAGCATTATTGCCATCATCAGCCTCCCTGCTAAACAAATGGATGATACTGCACCTTTACTGAAAATAAAGGCTGCAATTCAAAGGGACAGTCCTGCTCTACACACTTACCCCCACTGCTTTCCTCACATCAAACCTAGCAGGGATGCAGCAGCTTCAGGACACATCGGTTCAACATGCTGATTGAACAGCCCTACTCTGCCTCCTACACTCCAAAACAAAAACAAGATAGGGAGCAGCAGGCCTCCCCCCTTCAGGGACAGCCTGCAGTTGCACCAGATTAGGTTTATCAAACTATACATTAAGACATTCAATAGCTACTCTCCCTCCCTATGAACACCGCCATCTGCTTTTCATGTGGTTTTGGGAGGCAGGGGGATTGCAACAGCAACCATAAAACTCTTTGTTACCCTATGGTCATTAGTAAATTGGGGGGGGGGGAATAAAGGGGAGGAAGGAACTGCAAACTAGGCAAACTAGGATACTATATTGTTGTTTGCTCCCATATCCCAAGGTGACCTTAACCAAAAACAATTTATTTCTTCAAAGTCAGAGCTGAACCGGCATCACATGATCAGTTTAAAAATGTTGCCGTGTAGTAAAAGCATATAGAAATTAAATGCTAAAATCCTAAGATAAGAGCTGTAGCAAGCCTGCATGTAAATTCAGCCAGATCGGCTGAGGAAGGAACACCACAGCCTAGTACACAGGCACACCTACGCTCCATTCCAAAGTTGAATCCTAACTGAACTTGCTTAAGGATATTTATCTGAGGTATGTACAGTAGGAACACCACAGGAGCTAGCAATTTGGAGTTTTTTAGCTGTGGACCTGGTCCAAAACCCATTGAAGTTACTGAAAGATTTTCAGCACATTCAAACTGTTCTGGAGTCTAAATTTGAGTGTTCTAAGCACCTGAAGCTTTCAGGCACATTGGCGTGAGAGGGAGTAAAAAGCTCCCATAATACTTGGCATTGAAAAGTTTAACTTCTCAAATACTTCACCTACTTAGTTTTTTGCATTGCAGTTTTATTGACCAAGCACAGTCAAATTGCAAGATAAGGGTCTCAGTATGAAGATGTTAAGATTTGACATTTATTTTCATTTTTCAATTCTGCAATGAAGACACTAATAGGAGGAGACTGGACTCTTGTGCTCCTGCTGTTAAAGATGACAAGCCTCAAGTCTAGTAAGGAAAAAATAACGTGCTGCTTTTGAACAACATGCAACATTTCTATGTCATTTCCACTAATTGGCTAAAAAAGTTCTGTATGACAGTTTGATCATCACAAAAATGGTGGAGGCAGCAGCAAAGGAAGAAAGCAGAAAAGAGCTTGAACTACCTCTATTAGCCACTGCATGGTATGAAATGACTTCCAGTAAAGAGAGGCCAAAAACTCAATTTCATTGTCTAAACAATCATACGTTTAAGAAGGGAACAGAACTCTGATCCAATCAAGACCTTAAGCCTCAAGGACACATTTAAAGTCAAAAGTTAATTTCTCAGAGTCTTTTAAGTCACAGTTCCAGGTACATATTGTTTTTCCCTCCATTTTCTAATACCATTTCAGTCCCAGTTAATTGCTCCTCCCCTGGTATATACGGGCAAGTTAATTACTCCTGAAGTGCCATTCTTGCACTTCTATACTATAGCACCTCCAGTCACACTATTTTTCCAAGTATATTACTTCAGGACAACCTCCCACCAGAAAAGTTTTTCTTGGCAGATAGCTGTAAGTTGAGATTGCTACTGCACAAGTCAGTGAGCCACATAGAAACCTCCAATAAACCAGCAACCTCCTCCAAGATGAGGATTTACTATTCTCCACAGGCCTTAAAAGACCCATCTTTATCCAAGTTCTACACCAGTTGTCACCCCTGCAAGGGTGTAAGTGAAGTCAGATTTGGACAATGTATATTAGACCATGTAACAATGTGCTGCCACTACTGCATGATCAATTTTTAGGAAAGCTTTTTGCTTGTCTAGCTTCCAGATGGTTTTAAAAAGCCTACAGCTCTTAGACCATACAAAACATTAAGAATAGTTGTTTCAAAATTATAACACGTTCAGGCTAGCATGAAACTTTCCTAAGCTGACGATCATTTATCTAACCTTTTAAGATACGCACTTAAAGCGTTACCCAATCTTGGCAAACATACTGCAAGAGAAACATTTTTAGCTTAAAAAAGGTCAGAAAAACATACCACTAAACCAGTGACCGTACAGTGATTGTACTAGAAGAACTACTAGTGTTAGCAGCACAAGGAAAGGAAATAGCTTCAAAACTCAAAAGTCAATGGTACAGTAACACATTAGAGAAGAGATGGAACATGCAGAATACTACTTACCCTTTCATTTGGATCATGCACAACCGAATACAGTTGACGTGAAGTTACAAGGCACCGTCTTGAACAGAGCATTTCACGCTGTAGAAGAAAGGGATAAACATTTTTCCTCCTGCTACAGTATTGCATTAAGACAAACAGTTCATATGCTGACATCTTGAGGAAATTCTTCCATAACTTTCCTTGCCCCTCTTTGTTCCCCCCCATCACACCCCTAAGTGGACAGAAGGATCTGCTCCCCTTAAGCACACACCCAATGAATAGTAACTTAGGACAATTTAGAAGCCCCAGATAAAAGTCACTAGCTTAAGTATGCACTTTTTTTTAAATAAACTCTCCACTAAAATCTCATCTTTCCTTCCATCCAGTTCTGAGAAACATTTAACCAGTGAGTTCTCAGAAGAGCATGCATGCACTCAGGGAGTGGGAAAGGTGGCCTTCACTGCTGGGCATAGAGCAGGTAACGTACTAGACAGCAAGAACAGAACAGGCTTTAAATACTAGTTTGGCTCCTAGTCTTTCCCACAATCCCATGATGACACCAGTCTGAGAGACAGATCCTACTTTAAAGTTACCTCAGTGTAGATGGAGGGCTCAGGGAGGACTACAGTTGCTTATCCAGGTTGAACGAAAAAGACTACAAAAACCTTAATACTGAGTACTGCCTTATCTGGTAGGAAGTACAAAATAACAATACGCAATTCTCCAAACTCAGAACTGGTCAACTACATCTGAAAGAACTGCAGAAGTTGTGGAGACCCAAATAAGAAGCTTAGTAGAAGCTAAAAGCTCTCCTATAAGGAGACTGAAAAAGAGATGGACACTTACTCCACTGGAAAGGAAATCAAAAAATTAAGGTAAGGAAGTGTACATCTACATAAAGGTTAGAGAACTCAGCTACCTGCCCCATAACAGTCGTGAACATGCAGGAAGGAAGATGCAGTTAAGGACAGGCTTTTGCCAGGTGCAATTACAGCAAACAGTCATTATTCTAAGTTTATGGCAGGACAGCTATACCTTCAATGACTGTTCAGTGATGCAGATCCAGTAAGAAGGGGCAAGGATGGTTATAGCAGTAAGAGTATTCTGCTCCAGAGTGGATGGCATTAAGCAGGTAGAGTCCCTCTCCTCTCAGATAAAGCTGACAGGTGTCCTTGCGGGACCATGAATACTCTGAAGCAGCTCATACAGGACACATTCAAAAGGAGTCTTCAGGTTAACATTACCAATTGAAAGATGAAAGGTCAACGAGGCTAACCTAAATATGGGCAGCTAGATAGGAGGGGGAAGGGATGCCTCCAGACTTTCTTATAAATAACTTTTATACAAGCTATAGAGTTTTGAACGCATAGAAGTTCAGCTCCAGATACTAGAGCCTCCTAACTCCTTTTATTGCGCTACTAGCTCACTGTTCTACATATCTTGTTTGGGAGTTAAGTAACTATCAGCTGAAGTAGGGACATACCCACAGCCCATACAAGACAAACTAAGAGTACAGAAGGAAGGGATGTAGACAAAACCCTTCCCCAAACCCCATCCTCAAAACATACAGTGTAGTGTTTGAAATACTCTTCAGTGAAAAATGAGGTGGATTTTAATCCTTTCCAGATGAAAAGAGCTTAGATCAGTTTCTCAAATTCTGGCAAGCATTCAAGCTTTAGAAGAAAAGTCAGGAACAACTCCTGACATTTGTCACTTCATTTTGCAAGAAGCTTACCAGCAAACAGTAGGCATACCTTTAGAAAATCAATTGCATCTATCACCGCACAGGAACAACTGTGGATCACAATAGCCATATCCAAGGTAGTCTGACTTCTAATAATACCTTCACCCAGCACCAGAGGATGAAAAAACAGGAAAGAGGCCCAAATGGGTTTCCACAGCCAACACTAACCTCTGGTGCATAATCTTAACTGTTCATCTTGTTCAACGCTAGTTCGTGTGCACACTTTCCTTTGTCAAGAGAAGTAGCACAGAAACTGCCCAATCTGAATCAGCCAAGCAGCTAGGGAAAAAAAAAAACAAAAACCATAAATCCCATAACTCAAACCCTAATTCCATTCAAATAAGTCGTTTTCTTCCAGATCCCCAGTCAGTTCACAAACATGAATACAAGCACATCCTAGCCCACTTGTATCTAATGCTAATAAGGGTCTCAAGCTAGTGACTACTACAACACATTGCATGTGCATATTTTATTTATATGTGCATATCTATATACACACATGAACTGGTGTAGCCATTCATTTTCTAAAATAATTTTGTACAACTTAAACAGTAATTTGTAGAATAGCATGCTCTTCATGTGGCTCAGATTATGCACAAACTTCTGCCTCAGAACTTAGTAGAGAACCTGCCTTCCTATGAATACAGTTCTATGAATCCTCTTCCAACGATTTAACACCATGGTACACAATAACAAAATAGAAAATAATTAACTCATGTTATTTATGGATGGCTCATCGTGTATGCTTTAAAGTTTTGTTTGTCCCTCGTTAAGGAAAGAAGTTTTTCTGCTCTACAGATCATCTTGTAAATAACATGTTACTGAGCTTTCTGGCCAGAAAAGCATCTGTGTTGAAATGCAGAGTACCAGATTTTAGAGAAGGGAAGCATCTGATATCAACATTTACTTAAGGTTAACATTGGAAGGAATGCATATTCTAGTACAACTAGGAAATAGAGTAACCAATGCTCAATCAGTAACAGCACAGCGTACTTATTATCAGACAAATTCTAGCTCTTCCTTTTATGTTCTGCTAGAGATCCTAAGGCTTCTGCCTCCACACTTTTAAAGACTCAATACCTTAAAAAAAATCACTGGAATAACTCCCTCACATTTGCCATATATTTCCCATTAACAATAAATATTTCTGAATAATTTTAAACATTATGAACTCGTGATATCTTCACTATCTTGATCACACTGAAGCTGTTCCCAAATCTTTTTAATTTCGACCTAATCTGACACCCTTGTTTCTGGACATTTACAGATAGAGTACATACACAACATACATAGGAAGCAGACATTTTCAGGCATCTGCAAGAAATTTAATCTGTAAGGTTGAAAATGCAGCTTATCAACTAATATAAGATCGTACAAATCTTGTAAACAGGAAACCAACCTTAATATTTCTTTTTTTACTAATCAAGTACTTTCTCTTCTTTTTGCACTTTTTCAGAGTGTTCTGGACAGCCAGGAATTCATAACTCTAGGCAGAACCAATTTCAAAAAGAAAAAAGGAAAAATAGTACAAGCTTTTGCAAGCTACACTACACACAACTCTTTCACTCTTACCAGATACAAGAACCACCGCCAAATCTAAGAGAGAAGAGAAGAAATTCAGTTTTCATGTTTGTAGTATGTGTGCTGTGTTAGCAATACTCATCAACTAAGGCTATATTTTAAAACTAAGTCACTCCTACTCCCAAGTGTGTTCTCCCTGGTACCAGTACCGAAGTTTACAAAAGAGTCACCTGGTGAACCAGAGTAGGAAATACATCCAGCTGCAAAGACACCCACAAGCAGTGGGGAAATTGTTTTCAGCCAGATCAGTTCCTCAGTCCAGTTTATCCATTTAGATATTCAAGCAGAGGTGTTGGCACAATGGCAGGGAGAGACAGTTGAAAAGGAATGGCCCATAACCAAGAACTAGCACCTGGAGAAAGCTGGAACAATTTCTCACAGTAGCAGCTTAAACAGCTCCAGTAAGGCTAGAGCCTGTGAAACAAATCATGGCATTATAGTAATGATACAAGAATTACCAGTGCAAGTCTTAAACATTTTAAAAAGCAAATAAAAACATACAGATCAGCATCTTGTTTAAGAACTACTCTACCATTTTCTATGCTATGTAAACTTAACCAAGTTTCTTAACTTCCGTCCAGAACTAAGGGTCTTGCATAGTAGATGACAGTATGTTTTGCCTGCAAATCCAAACAGCTACTCCTGGAAGCAAGGTAACTCTAAACACACAAATCTCTACCCATGATCTGCTTTAAGTATGCTTATCAGTACTAAGATCTCTAGATTAAATATTGAAAACAACCCCTGAACTCCACTAGTGTTGGAATACATTTATCTGTCTAAACTTGTGACCACACTTCTTTCACAAACAGCAAATGATTCCAACCTTGCTATCCTCTCTGGCCTAATGCTTCCGTGCAACAAAAGAACAAAGGCAAAAAGCACCTCCCTGAAGTAACAGTATGCTAATAATGTTATGCGGAAGAGAGTAAGGAGCTCCCGCTGTACAGGTCACTTCCATGACTTAAAAATGGTGGGCACATAAACTTATTATGAGGGCAGAAAAGGCAGAAAACTCCATACATTCAGTTTCATAATAAAAACTTGTACACACTGATGGCAGATCTATGTATCAGCAGTTTACTGTTCATAAGAGAGTATTTACACCTTTCCTCTACTTTCTTTTTAATAGCTTTCTCAGAAGAGTTTCAAGATAAATACCAAAAGCCATTTCTCATCCTCATACAGTAACTGCAGTCTTCTTTCAACATAAGATTTTCTCCCAGCTCCAAGAGTGTAAAGCACCCAAAAAGAAACTAACAGTTTAGTTATATTCTGCAGAGAACTAGTTCTGCATGGAAGCTAACATACAAGCATTAAGCATTAGCTTAGAAACATAGCAAATAGTTGAATCCCCAGCTCACAGGGTTTTTGCACTTTCTTTTCTCAGGTCTTCCATTGATACAGCAAAAGTTAACGACTGACTAGCTACTAGCCCTGGCACAAATTGTAAGAATTCCAAGCAGGTTAAAAGTTTGAAGAGTTAAGTAAGAATACTTGCCTATGTTAGCAAAATATTTAAAAGGTCCATGAAAGTAATTCCTATACAAATCACTCATATGAAGTCATTGAAGACTCTCCTCTTGAAGGCGAGTTTCACACACAAGGCTAAAAAAAATCACTTCAGTTACGTAACACACAAGTGTTATTAAGTACCTATAAAAACGTTATATTCGTGAGTGTTATAAAATAAAACGTTTTATTTTATTGTTTACATTGATACAGCCAGATCACATCCTTGAGAATTTAAAGGAAGGAGCAAAGTAGAGCTTTCACAGGAAAGCTCTAAAGGGCAAACATCAAAAGCTTTGGACCATTCAGAGGGAAAAGCAGTAGTCTTCCATATGCATATACACATACATGTGTATATGGCTACCAAGAACAAAGTTTTCAAACAGCATGATTGCTCTGCTAGTTCCAACTCAGTCACGTCATTCCCAAACTTATTTTCCCCCCACTGTTTAAGTTTCTCTCCTGTACACCTTCAGAGCAAAACACATTTGCCATGTAAGTTTCCTGAGAGAAAAATACTTAAGAATAACCCATCCCCTTCTCAAGATGACCTGCCTGAGCAGCTTCCTAACCACACAAGTCATCCCTTATACAGGATCCCTAAAGACAGAACAGCTGTTCTTAGTACAGTTTAGAAGTTACAAATGTAGACAGAAATCTATTCTACCCTTAGGACAACGAGTTCTGCAAGTTACTCCTCTCTTCTCCATTAGCACTTGCAGGTCTGCTCACAAACATCCCTTTTCAGGAACAGATGCTAGACTCCTGTTGTAAGCAGTTTGATGTGCTTTGCACCTTTTCCACACACCAGCTAGTAGTTAACATCTTTAGTCTTTTACACACTACTATATGATAACACTATTTGCTCTTTTCCTAAATAATCTCTCCTTTCTTTTAATATGGTCTGTAGAAGCAAAGAGGAAAAAAAGTAGATACTACATAAGCTTAAAGTAACCTCCTCAGTGAACCTATTCCAGTTTCAGGAATTAAGCTTCCTAGAAGCTTGAAGTCTTTACCAAAAATAGTTTTGCAATAGCTTCTGTCATTTTCATGACAAACATGAAAACTCCACAGTAAAGCATAAGCAATAGGTGAAACATCTGCAACTATCAACAGGTAGGATTTCCGCAGATATACACCAGGGTAGCACCTGTCAACAGTACAGCCCCAAGAAACATGGGAGAAGAGAAAGGAAGGAAGAGACGATACCTTTTCAGAGTAGTAACTTTTTCTATAAACTAAGCTTTTACTCAAAAACAGCATAGAACTACACTCTTCTGTGTTTAAAGTGCTATTCAAATTACCCCCTACCCCTACGTTTTGATAAGCCCCTGGGCTAAACAGAGGGAAGAGAGGAGGAGGAAACAGGGAGCAGTCCCTAACCCTCCTCAGCAGCGAACTGACTTTTTTAAAAGTCAGATCTAGCAATACACAGATGGGACATACCAAGGACCAGAGTCTTAGATGCTGAGTTATCAACACGTCAACCCACCACCTAGCTTTTACAGTTTCACTACAACTACTTTGCCTTCCAGCCATTTAAACACAGCTGCCAGGCCTACTCTCCGCTGCCCGCCCCGCACCCCAGACCAGCATAGGGCTCCCTGGGCAACAAGAGCCCCTCCCGGCAACCAGAGGACCAGCACTCCCCACCCCACAGCACTGCCACAACACCATGACCACGTATGTGCACACTCACCAACAGTCTCCCCAGCCCCAAACAGGGGTTTATACAGGAGGGACCCCCACACAAAGCCCCAGCTCCAGACATTCACACAGAGGACAGCATCCCCCAACAGCCCCAGTCCTGGCTGTTTACATGACGGACAGTCATTCCCCCCCTCCCCCTAAACAGGGTCAGCCCCAGGCTTTTACTTGCACCCCCTTCCCTCTCCCAGCACCTGCAACACACATTTACATAGGGCAATACCATCCACAAAGATCATTCCAGACATTTACATGGCATCTCTCCTCCATGTCCCCACAACAGTCCCATTCCCTAACATTTACATGCAGGATGCAACCCCATAACAGCCCCAGACTTGACCTGATACACCCCCCTCAATAACAGCCCCATTCCCAGACATTTAAACAGCAGAAAAACAGCTCCAACGACTCCAGCTTCAGACA